CGACCTGGAAGCGGTCAAGAGGTTCGGGAGGTGGTCCACGGACGCCTTCCACGGATACCTCTGGGAGGACCATCGGCGTCAGGCTCCGTTCGCCCGAGGCATGGCGGAGGGCCACGCCTTATTGGCCCCGGACGCCCGCGGTGACGACGGCGCCGTGACCGGCGCCCGCCCCGACCAGTTGGCCGGGAGCGATCCGCCCCAGTTTGGGAGCGATCTGAGGCCCTCGGAACGCCCGGCCTGGGCGCCCGGGCGCCCCCCCTGGGCGCGCCCTTCGGCGCGAGCAGGGTCAACTACGGAGGAGGAAGGAGAGGAGGAATTGGTGAGATACGAGCCAGGGCGAGGAGTTAATGGGCGTGTGGGAAAGCAGCAGGCGGGTCCCACGGGTATTCAGGTCAGGGCGGGGGCTTCGCGTTGTGGGGGTATCCCGGTGGACCTCTCGCCCTCGACCCCCCTTTCGCTACCGCTCCCGATCGCCCCAGGCACGCCCACCTCCTCTTGGTCCTCTCTTCCGCAGCCATCTCCCACTCCAGAGCGAGGCGCGCGAGCAGCGCGCGCACCCCAGCCCTGCGCGCCAGCCGCGCCGTCGCCCCGCGCTCCGGCAGCGTGCGTCATGGGATTCCTGGTGGGCCTGGCGGCCCCGGACCAGAGCAAGGCGCGTGGCCATGACTACAGCATCATGGCGGTGAACCCCCTCGGCGTCGTCGTCTCGGGGGCCGCGTTGTCGGACGAGCTCCGGAGTGCCGCCCACAACATCCTGTACACGGTGGTGAACGAGCTGGACAGCGAGGACCTCGTCGAGATGGTCAACCACGACCACGAAGCAGCCCCGTGCATCGCGGCGGCTTGCTTGGCCGCGGGGGCGAGCGAGGACCACGGCCAGCTGGTGATCGTCGACGGCAAGCGGGGTGCGTGGGGGGTGGGCGCGGGGCCGAATATCAAGGTCCAGCGCCAGGCGGCCAAGCTGGCGCTCGCCTTGGCCCAGTTCCAGGGGCAGCCCATGCCGGAGCTCCGCGAGCTCTGCAAGCACAACAAGGGGCTGCTCGACATGATGCGCACAGTGGACGCGGAGGCGGTCGTGGAGCTCACCGACGACGACGCCTCGAGCAGGGGCGAGGGGAAGTCGACCCCAGCCCCGGTCCTCGAGGCGGGAGAGGACGCGGTCACCGCGGCGCTGGCGCGTGCGGCCATCCAGGCTGCCGCGCGGCGCCAGAGCAAAGGCGCTCCAAAGGCGCGCCCGCGGCCCGCGCGGTCGCCGGGCCAGGAGCGCCTCGCCGAAGAGGTCCGCAAGCGCGAGAGGCGCCCTGCGCCCTTGCGCTCGCCTTCGCGCGCGAGGCGCCGCGATCGCGAGCGCGATGCGCCTCGCGATCGCGGGCGCAGGGGACAGGAGGAGGAGGCCGTCTTGAAACCCAAGACGGGCGGCGCCCCCCCGAAGGCCGACATCGTGAAGCGTGAGGCCGTCCTGAAGCCCAAGAGCGGGGGGGCGCCGCCGCGGTCCTTCGAGGTGAAGACCGAGGTGGAGGAGGCGCCAGGCGCGGGGGACGGGCCGCCCCAGCGCCAGCCGCGCTCGAGGAGCCGCCGTAGGCGCAAGGAGGAGCAGCGCCAGGGCGCCCAGCAGCAGCCCAGTGACCAGCACGACGAGGGCGAGTCCATCATCCGCATCGAGCGGGTACCGCACCACGTCGATGCCGAGGTGGTCAGGCAGGTGGTCGTGCCCTTCGGGGTCGTCAAACACATCGCCTTCCTGTACGACCACCGCCACAAGCGGGAGCCGTGCGTGCTGGTGGAGTTCCAGCGCCGCGCTGACGCAAAGCGCGCGCGGGAGTGCATGAGGTCGAACTATCGGTTCTACAAGACGGACCCGTGCACGGTGGTCACGGAGTGGGCGAGCCGGCCTCGCGGCCCTGACCCAGGCAGCGACGGGGAGGATGGCCCGACCATCCAGCCGCCTGCCTGCCCGACATGCGCACTCAAGATGCGCTGGAGCTCCTTTGACCCGGGAGACGGTTGGGGTTGCGAGATGTGCCCCGCGGGCGGAGCTAACAGCGGAGCCCTGCGGTGGCACTGTAAGGGGTGCGACGTGAGCTACTGCGAGGCTTGCCGCGTCGCCTTCGGCAAACCCAAGACGGTGGTGGAGAAGGCCCGGCGGAGCGGCCACACCGTGCGGGAGGCGCCGGGCCCCAGTGTCGGCCATGGCGAGCGCCCCAGCACGGGTGCCACGGGTGCGGGGGCTGAGGGGGACCGCCCGCCGGGCGACCTCAGCTGGCCCAAGCGTGAGAGGTCGCCCAGCCGCCACCGGCCCAAGCGCGAGAGGTCGCCCAGCCACAGTCTGGCGCGGGACCCAGCGTGGGCGCGGCGCGGCGACACCCCGCCCGGCCGCACGCGGCGTAAGACCGGGAAGCACGCTGGGCAGCTTCGCGCTCCTCGCGGCGGCTGGTACGAGCAGGAGAAAAAGCGGCGGCGTGCTGCCGCCGCGGAGGCTGCCGCGGGCGGGGGTGGGATCCCAGCCTGGCGTGGCAAGGGCGCGGGCGACAAGGGCGGCAAGGGCGGCAAGGTCAAGGGCAAGTACTCCGGCAAGGCCGCCAAGGGCTCCAAGAGCGGCGGCAAGGGCGACAAGAGCGGCAAGGGCGGCCACTCCAAGGGCGACCAGGGCAGCCGCGGCCGGAGTGAGCGCGACTGGCCCAGCGCGGACGGTCGCGCGTCGAGGGGCGGCGATGGCAGCAGCCCCCGGGACCCCAGTGAGCGCGGCGGAGACCGCAGCGGAGGCGAGAGCCGCGACCGCCGGGGGAACACGCCCTCCATCTAGGCGTGGAGCTCCCCCCCGTACCCCGACGCCAGCGCCCGCGGCATCGCGGGCGCGGGCTGAAGGCGGCGGCCTGTGAGTGAGTCGGCCCTCCTCTCAGCCTACCGTGCGCAGGTGGCGCCTGCGATCCTTGAGCCTACGGTACGCAGGTGGCGCCTGCGAGCTTGTTTCTTTTAGCCTACGGTACGCAGGTGGCGCCTGCGATCTCTTTCTTTTAGCCTACGGTACGCAGGTGGCGCCTGCGATCCTCCCTCTTGGAGGAGTTTAACGCTGCGCGCACGTCGCGTGCTTCCTGGACCCGGCCGTGCTGCGCGTCTTGCGCGCCGTGCGGTCGGGGCCACACTTGCGCTCTGCGCCCGGCGCCTCGTGCGCCGCCACCCTTTTCGGTTCTTTTGCGCGCATCGCGCACGCGCCGCGCCCGCGCTCTGGGTGCGCGGGCGCGGAAGGCCTCAAGGTTGCAGGCAAGTGGCCGCGCGCGCGAGGCTCTTGCAGCCTCTGATCCCGCCCTCGCACTCGGGCGGGGCGCCCCCCGCGCGCGCGGCTGCGTCTTTCTTTTCTCATGGCCGAGCGGCCGCAGGCGTGCCAGAGCGCGAGCGCGCGGGCCGTCAGGGCCCACGCGCTCGCGTTGAGCGTGGGGCCACCAGGGCCCACGCTCGGCGGAGATGCGCGTCGCCACGCTGCCATGAAAATACCATCGCCCTGTCCTGGTCCCTCTCTCGTCCCCTCCTCTCCTCCTCCTCCTCCGTTGAGTGCACGCGTATCTCACTTAACTTGTATAGTCTGATTGGTTGTAGACTGCAGGTTAAGTGGGAGGGGGTGTGGGCTCAGGTAGCCATTTTGGGTCCGTAGCGTTCGGCTCTGGCCGACGCGCGGGTGCCCACCCACCCCGCTTTGCTCCCAGACGCCTGCGTCGGCCGAGCGGCCGCAGGCGTGCCAGAGCGCGAGCGCGCGGGCCGTCAGGGCCCACGCGCTCGCGTTGAGCGTGGGGCCACCAGGGCCCACGCTCGGCGGAGATGCGCGTCGCCACGCTGCCATGAAAATACCATCGCCCTGTCCTGGTCCCTCTCTCGTCCCCTCCTCTCCTCCTCCTCCTCCGTTGAGTGCACGCGTATCTCACTTAACAAAGTGGTCGGAGCTCTAGACACCCTGTGCAAGAGAATAAATCGGTGCCTGCGGGGTTGTCCGAACGGCTTGCTCTTCGCGCCCCAGCGGCTCGCGGGGTTGTCCCAACGGCCGTTGCCCCAACGGCTTCGCGATTTTGCCATCGGAGAACGCGCCCCTGCCGGGGACTGCGGCAGGGGCGTCGAGGAACGCGTCCCGCTGGCAGGAGGAAGGAAAGGTTCATGAGGAGAACAAGGGGGGATGTAGATGAAGGGGAGGGGGGGGGGAAGGAGGAAGAGGTGGAGGAGGAGGAGGAAGAAGAAGAACAGGACGAAGGGGAAGAGGATATATCTAGCAAGGGAGGCGAGCAGGAGGAGGAGACGGAGGATTAGGGAAACAAGGAGGATGAGGAGGCGCAGCAAAGGGCGAGACTCGGGGGTTCGGCCAGGGCGAAGGGGAAAGACCGAAGAGCAATTCCAATCGGTTATCATGTGGGATCCGGCCGTCGGAGTCATTGTTCGATTGTGTTCCTCCTGGAAGCCTCGACCATTTCCCCGCAGGGCCCGCTTCTCGTCCTGCAATCGCCTTTGACGGTCCCAGACACGGCGAGGGCCCCAGAGACCGAACACGGGGAACAGTTGTTGTATCGATGTTTTCACTACGTTGGATGTATGCAGCAAGTATTGTTGGTCGTTTGGTTTTCTGGGATATATTCGTATGTGGCACGTTCTCTGATTCATCCAGGCCACGATGCACAAAGAGGAGGAGGTGGAGGAGGGGGAGGAGGAGGAGGAGGAGGAGGGAGGAGGAGGAGGAGGCGGTGGAGGAGCAGGAAAGAGGAGGAGGATGATGAGAAGGAAGTGGAAGGAAGAGGAGGATAGAGGAGGAGGAGGACGAGGAGGAGGAGGAGGAGGAGGAGGAAGAACTGGAAGAAAAAGCAGGACAGGGGAGGAGGAGGAGGAGGAGGAGGAAGAGGAGGAGGAGGAGGAGCAGGAGGAGGAGGAGTAGCAGGAGGACGAGGAGGGAGGCCCAGGGCTCGTCACCCAGGGCGCCCAGCCCTCCGTGCCCGACGAGTGGCCCGCGGCCCCCCGGTGGCGAGGCCGGGAACGCCGCCGAGGCCGAGGCCCCCTTGCTGCCGAGCGGCCCCAGCGTGCAGGCGGGCCCCGCCCGCGGCTCCGAAGAGTCGGCCCACGGCTGCGTGGTACGGCCGGGCCGGGGCGACGACGACGACGAAGACCACGACGACGCCGACGTCGACGACGACCACGGCGACGACGACGACCACGACGACGACGACGACGACCACGACGACGACGACGACGACGCCGACGACGACGACGACGACGACGACGACCACGACGACCACGACGATGACGACGACGACCACGACGACGACGACGACGACGACGACGACGACGACAACCGACGACGACTACGACGACGACGACGACGACGACGACGAAGACGGCGTATGGTCGCGCCTCGGCCTCGGAAGCGGCGAGGCTGCCTCGGAGGCCGCCGCCGCCGCCGCCGCCGCGGCCTCCACTGCGCCTCGACGGCAAGGTCCAGGTCGGTTCGGGGAGGGTACCCTAATCGACTACACGTAGGAGTGACCTTTTGCCAGAGAGACCTTTGGTGCGGGCCCATTGGGGTCCCCCGATCGCCGAGCGCGATGCGATAGCGGCTGCTCGCGCGCATGGATGTGGCTACCTTGCGCCCCCGTAGTCCGGCTTGCTGCGTGCTTTTCGTATTTGTTTTATGTTCGTGTGCATGTTGGGGAGGATACCCTCGAATGTTCTGCTGTTTGGCTGGCGGAGGGTCTCGTGTTCTCGAAGGATGTGGTTATATCCTAGGTCTGGCCGTATGCTCAGATTGTTCGGGTATACGTAAGAGTCACCTTTCGCCGGAGTGACCTTTGCTGCGAGTTCAGCGGGGTCCCCAGATGGCCCAATGCGATAAGATAGCAGCGGCTTGCGCGCTCCAGCTCGGTCTCCACGCAGCCACCGACAGTCGTGCATCAAAGGTCACTCGTGCCTAGGGTCAATTTTACGTATAGCCGAATCGTGAACCACGGAAGGTTCCGATCATTGCTCGAAGAAAAGTTGCATACATATGCATGTTCGACGGTCCGCGCGGATTTTTGGAACCGACAAATGGGGGCAAGGTGTTTGTCAAGGGGTGTCGTGCCCCTTCCCGGGACCCCCTGCGCTGCGAAGTGGGCGTGGCTCATAATCAGCTACATGCCGACATGAGGGTTGTCCGTTTGTGATCCAAAATGGGGCCGTCATGAGTTTCGTGCCAGGAGTAGATTATCACGCAACCACATGCCGCTGGGAAGAAGGACACCGAAACGGCACCGAAGGCGTGGTTCCCAGACGCCCGGCAGATTCAAATAATCCAGACGCAGGTTATTCGCAGTGCTTGGCCTCATAGGGGCCCTCGCAGGGCCCCGCGACTGCAACACATCGCTTGGGACAAACAACAGGTCATGGGGGAAGTGTCGGGCCGTCCAGAGGCCCCGTATTGCAAACAACAGACGTCCGATCTTTGGGAGGTTTGCTTGAGGCGTGGTTCCTGCGACCCCTGCATGCTTTCGGAGTTGACCCAACTGGGGCGGTGGCACTTGCCTGGCCTTCACAGGCCAGCCAACCTGGAAGCCATTTGGAAAGGCTGCTGGGGAGTCAGTGACACAGCGCGTAAGCTTGCCTAGCCCAGATCTTCGGCATGGTTTGTCGAGTTCCGCCTCTAGGGCCCATCATCAGGCCCCGAGGCGGTCAAACAACGGATACGTGATGAACAAGGGTCCCCAGGGAAGAGTTCGGGACAAGTGTGGCCGCGCATTGAAAAAACACATCTTCCGATGTCTGGGAAGGCATGGTTCCCGCGGCCCCCTCATGGCTTCAGAACTTCCCCGACTTGGGGGTGGTCCCAGCTGGGCTTTCACAGGCCAGCCAACCTGGAAGTCGTTATGAAACCACACCGCCACTTCGGGAGCCGCGGCTGAGGTCGTTGATCGTGGCCCGCGCAGCAACTCGCTGTCTTGCCACGGGTTGCCCCTGAGTAGTGCGCGTCCTTTCAGTCGGGGCGCAGGTAACCCAGACCCATACTTCTCCTCGTTGCGACAAAAATAGTAACGGGAGCGATGTGCCGCCTTTCGGTCCCCATGCGCCATCACCGAGCCCCAGGGATGGTCAAAACAATGATTGAATTGGTCCCAGGGAGAAGGTCTGGACCTCTGGGTGTCCACGTTTCGAGAAAGTCGCCACGTCGGAGGTCTGGGACCGGAGGCCAGCCCCAGCCCAGACGGATCCTGTGCCTCGGAAAAGTGACGCATTTTGTTGGTGCCCCGGGAGGCAGGTGTCGGACCTCGGGGGCGTCAGAGGTAGAGAGGTCCAGGGCGCCGCGCATCGAACAAACTCGGAGCGCCAAACAACATCGGAGCGCCAGGTGTCGAGGTGTCGAGAATATAGCCACAGATTGGCCCCAGGAGGCGGTGGATTTGAATGTTCTCGGGCCCTGGGGGGAGCCCTCAGTGTCTGCCTCTCTCTGCAAGGGGTCCTGGAACATGTGTACGGTCAAGGAGTTCGATTTCGTGTCGCGCCGCCAGTTCTGGCCCACCACGCCTCTGGGGACCGCGCCCACTAAGAACACGGGTGGAACTCCCTCGGGCGCATGGTCCGCGCGAGGTGTTTGTGTGTGTGTGCGTCGAAATAGAATATGTCCTTCATCATTGGTGTAGGCGGAGCCCTCTGCTGGGCACGATCCGCGTGAAGGGGTGTGCCGAAATGGGCTGCGCGACGCTGCGCTAGCCCTCGCGTTGTTGTGACAGCGGGTAGAGCTCCCTGCGGGCCACGATCCGCGCGAGGGGAGTGCAAAATATGGGCTTGGCGGCGCGAGTTTCTCCACTGGGGCCACGAGTGGAGACCCCATGCGAGGGGTGTGCCGAAGTGGGCGGGGGCAGGAATTTGGAGGAGGCGCGGGGCTCAGCGGAGAGCAAACGAGGACCCAACAGCACAGTTCCCCTCCTCCTACACCTCCTCCCTCCTCGCTCCTCCTCCTCTTTCTCCTCCTCCTCCTCCTCCTCCTCCTCCTCCTCCTCACACATCCCCCATCGCATTTCCTAAGAGATGACTCCTCCGTGTCGCACCCCCAGACGTGTCCGCAGGGCGGTACGGGCGTTTCGCTTGAAGCCTCCTCACCAGGCATGATCCTGAGCCTGAAATCTGCAACAGGTTGACGGATGGAGAGCGGGTGGTTCTCAAAGTGTGATTCTCACCTCAGTGCCGTGCACATTGGTTTCCACAGCTTGCAACAGAGTTACGGATGGAGGGCGGGTGGTGTTCAAAATGTTGTTCTCGCTTTCTCGCCGCGCACATTCGTTTCAAAAGTTGCATTAGCTTCTCGCCTTAGCACTGTTGATTCGAAGCGTTGAAGTCCCATGGATGGAGTTCTGATACGATTGAGGATTTTCGGACGGTTGTCTTTCACAGGACCATTTCCCTTCTATGACGACGTGAAATGGGGGGGAGGATCTGTTGCAGTATCGCTGATGCGTCTTGGGTTTACACTAGTCCTCCTCCTCCTCCTGCTCCCGTTTCGTCGTCGTGTCTTGCTCGGTCTTTCCCTTCCTTCGCGGAAGCCAAATTGCTTGGGACCTCCAAGTAATTGAATTATGTTCACTCACTGTTGCGCCAAACCCTACGACGGGCCGTTCTGGAAAACGTTGGCCGTCCAGTCGTCGTAAGAGGTGGGTTCGATCAAAGTTTTTTGAAGCCACGCGTGGCCCCTGAACCCTTCAGAGCCATGGCGCCCTGTAGAAATGAAGTCAGCATGCGAAGATTCTCCGGAGTGCCTGTCGCATCAGGTGTGCGGAGGATCGAGCTGACGCCTTTCTGCAGAGTCGTGAGTTCGTCCTTTCTCGTCCTCTCCCATCTCTTTTCGTTCAAGCGCTGGCAATCGGTGCCATTGTTGGTTCTTACGTGCTGCTAGTCGCCGATGGAGATGTTAAGAGAATTTGCATACGGCATTTGGCCGATCCTGTGCTCATCATATAGACATTCTAGGGGTCTGCCCTCCAGGGGACCGCCCTGGCACCAGAGCAGGCACGCCGACCGCCTTGCCTGGTTTTTGCCAACAATCACCGAGCGCGTTCCACTACTCGCAAAGTGCCTACTCGCAAACGCCCGAAAAACATATGTCTGCTTCGATGTAATTTATCGTAGATCCCCCGCGGCGGATCCAGGCCATTTGCGAGTAGCTACTTTGCGAGTAGTGGAACGCGCTCGTCTAACTAATGCCACACCTGGAGATGCGACGTCGCGACAGCAGGCAACATCTGGAGTCATCACGACAGGAGCCCTGGGCCCAGTCTTTCTGCGGCATGTCTCGAGCCGGATCCACGAAGCTCTTGGGCCCCGAAGCCGTGCGAGGACGCCCGGCGCGAAACAATTGCAATGCCCAGATCACAGAGCTTGCCAACAGCACGGGAGGTTTGGGAGAAACGCGTCAGTCCCCTAACCCTGATCCCCGTCGTTGTGATTTGCTCACGACGTGGACCTCCAGAATTCTCGACCGTTTCCTGGGGAACCGCTTTTCATCCTGATGCGTTTTTGAGGTTTCATTAGGCCCAGTCAAGGCCCCCAGATGCCGACAATGATAGAACATCTTCCGCAACGTAAGGGGGGAGAGGCTCGGGGGAGGATACGTCGACACCCAATCGCTCATCGATCGCCGATAGGGGCCTGATGGCCCACCCAGCCTAAGAACGTGCGGATCCGCTATCGGGGGCCCATCGGCGATGCATCGCCGATTCCCACCCGATGTTTCCCCCCCTTAGTCCCGCCAGCGTTGCCCCTCAGGGGCGCGCGCCACGCGTTGCCCCAACGTTGTCCCAGAGCTCCCCAACCCTTCCCTGGGCCTGAATAACTATCGCCCTGGGTACATTTCTGATAGATCCGGGGCCCGATAGCAGCCCCAGAAGCCGAAATCGACGAAAAGCGCCTGGATTGAACAAATCATATCGCCAGCCTCTCCCTGGTTCGTTCTGACAAGGATCTCGGGGCGAATCCAGCCGTGGCGACGATGGCATAACAGGATGCCCCACAAAGCGTGAAAACGAGCGAAGGCTAGGGGTGTCGATACTTGTTTGTCCTTCTATGCCGTCTTTGGGGCAGTTTTTTTGTTTTTCCCGGGCGATAACGGGCGTTACCGGAGGGGAGGAGGGGGCTGGTATCATCACGTTTCGCGCGAATCGTGACGTTCCCTTGGGGGGAAGGGGGACGGCCAGGGTTGGTAACGGCCGTTACCGCGAAAGATACCAAATAACCAAAACAACATGTTCCTCCCCGACGTCGTGATTTGTTCGTTGCGTTGACCCCAGCGGTCTGGACCCGTTCCATGGGACCGATGTTTCATTTGGAGACGTTTTTGACTGTCCCGAGGGCTTGCAACCCAGAGGCGTAAAGTAATCCCATGCCCGCGAGAATAATCCCATGGGGATAAGACAAGAAATTGTGGGGTCCTGGGAGGATGATTGGCTTTTTCCCGTAGATGTCCATGTTGGTCTGTTTGAATCAGTGTTGAGGGCGGGGATGGGCAGCTCGAAAACTGAGCGTTTCGCTTGAGATATCCTCACAAGAATGACATGTTTGCGACAGCGCCTTCAACAAACTCAAGCGTTTGGTTTGAGACATCTTCGAAAAGCTGACAGTCACGAAAAACATGCGCGTCTCGCCTGAGACATACTCACAACATCGGAAACGAATCGTTCAGGCGAAAGCCAATAAGGATTGCTCACGGTGCTATGCATGGTATGAGGTCGCACAGAAGAACGCCATGGGGGCGGCACTCATGATTATCACGGGGGCGGGGTTAGCGGAACATTTCCGTCGTGATTGTTTCATGACTCGAAGGGGCCTGGGCTTGCGGCGAGGGCCCAGGGCGGCAGATCTGGCGGCGCCGCGCTGCGCGTCAGGCTCTCGGCGCCCTGGGCGCCAGGCTGCGCGCCGTGCCGCTGTGGGCCGCCGGCGCGCTGGCCGCGGCGCTGGCCGTGGGAGGCGGGAGGGGCGGGCTGGGCTGCCGCTGGGGCTCGGCGGCGCGTCCAGGGGGGGGAGGTCCTCCGGTGGCTGGGCGGTGCGACGCGGCCCGCCACGACAGCATGACCCGCACGGGGGAGGAGGAGAGAGCTGGGCGGGAGGGAGGGAGGCGGCTGGAGGAGGAGGAGGAGGAGGAGGAGGAGGAGGAGGAGGCATGAGGACTGTCAGTCTCTGCGCTCCCTTTAAGTGGAAGAAGGTCCACCGGTGGCTGGGCAGTACGGGAGCCGCCGCCACACTGAGGGCTTAGGATTCGAAGCCCTGGCATACAGCGCGGCGCCCTGCCAAGTTGCCGCGGACCCAGGGATACGTATCCATCCCAGGGGCGGCTCCGCACCTGATGGCGCAGCCACCGCCGTGGGAACTTGAGCGGGGTGGAGGAGAATGGAGGAGGGGGAACCGACGACCAGCCTGGGGGGGAATTGAGAGGGGGCGTGCCTTCTGAGAAGGCTCGGAAGTCCCCCAGCAGTTTTCTAAGCCTTCCCCGAAGACACAGAAGGCTTTTCAGAAGAGACCAGAGGGCTTCAGAGACGCCCCGCCGCCGTCTGGTAAGGCCCCCCCCATCGCTGCCGCTGGGCCGTCTCCGTCGTCGCCGCCGCCCTCCACAGGCCTCCCTTGAGATCCTGGCGTCGCAGTGCTTCACACCGAGCACGTTCGCTCAGTTGCGGGCCCCAGGAGCCTCACAGATCGATCCAGCTCGCAAAACGGCGCAGAAACATGGGGTTTGGGGCTTTGGTCGTGATTGTAGTGGCCTCTGGCCAGTGCCGCCGATCTGGGGTGCTACCGATTCTGCTTGCAACGGATGACTTTTTTATTTTTATAAGTAGAGCACTCGCTCGAGACATCCTCATAAGGTAGAGAGGTTGAATTCGCTTGGGCAACCTTCGGATATTCGAAAGTGACAATCTCGCGTGAACAGCCAAACTCATGGGATGTCCCCTCCCACCTTCCGGGCCTGAAGGGCGTCAGCCATGGCGTCAGCCCCCGCCCCCCCCCTGACTCCCCCGTCCCGGGCGTGAATGGCGTCAGCCATGGCGTCGGCCCTCCCCCGCCCCTCTCCTCTCCGGAGCCTGAATGGCGTCAGCCATGGCGTCAGCCCCCCCCCCCGACAGAGTGAAGCTTGAGCGAGCTCCCCCGTCCCTCCCTCCATCCGGGCCTGAATGGCGTCAGCCATGGCGTCAGCCCTCCCCCCCTCTCCCCGACTCCTCCCTCGCGGGCCTGAATGGCGTCAGCCATGGCGTCACCCCCTCCCCCCCTCCCCCCTCCCCCTCCTGGGCCTGAATGGCGCCAGCTATGGCGTCAGCCGCCTCCCCCCCCACCCCCCGACAGAGCGAAGCTTGAGCGAGCTCCCCCCCCTCCCCCCTCCCAGGATTGAATGGCGTCAGCCATGGCGTCAGCTCCCTCCCCTGACTTCCTCCTCCCGGGCCTGAATCTCCCCCCCCCTCCCCCCTCCTGGGCCTGAATGGCGTCAGCTATGGCGTCAGCCCGCGCCCCCCCCGACAGAGCGAAGCTTGAGCTCCCTCCCTCCCGCCTTCCCCCCTCCCGGGCCTGAATGGCGTCAGCCCCCCCCCCCCCTCCGACATCCTCCCTCCTGGGCCTGAATGGCGTCAGCCCCCTCCCCCCCTCCTCCCTCCCGGGCCTGAATGACGTTTGCCCCTCCCTCCTCCTCCTCCCTCCTGGGCCTGAATGGCATCAGCCCCCCGAAGTCCATTTGGTACCCCCTGTGGACGTTCGGGAAGAGCGCCTACGCGACATGCGAACTTGATGTTGGTGCACGTTCTTGCCAAGCTCTTTGATTTCACGCGCTTCCCGTTCATGTCAAGAAAGGTTACGCACAATGGCCATGTCGCCTGAGACATCCTTACAAAGTCGAGATGTCGGAGGGTTTGTTCAAGGGCGCCTTATGCTAAAATTGAAGCTCTCGATGCAGACATCCTCGAAACATGGAGATCTTGAGGTCTCTCACGAAACTCGCCAATCTCCAAAAATGGGCGTTCCGCCTGAGACGTCCTCGAATACCATAGATGCCGAAAGAGCATTGATTAGATTTCTTGTATCAAGACCTTGGCTCTCGCCCGTGGCATCCTCGAAACACGGAGATGTCCAGGGAGCTTGCGAATTCCTCGTGTTCACGAAATTGAGGTTCCCGCCTGCGACATCCTCCAAACAATGCGGTGAGCAATTTGTTGTCTTACGACATGTATTGGAGGCATGTTTTGGAGGACCCCCAAGACGGCCCAAGAGGGCAACATCTTTTTTACATATTTAATGGTTGTTCAACCATTTCGCTCAAAAGTGTGCGTTCCGTTCGATACATCATCAAACTTTGCATCGTCGTCGTCGTCGCCGTTGCTGTCGTCGTCGTTGTCATTGTCATCGTCATCGTCGTTGTCGTCGTCCTCCTCGTCATCGTCGTTGTCACTGTCATAGTCGTCGTCATCATCATCGCCGCCGTCGTCGCCGTCATCATCGTCGTCGTTATCGTAGGTGCGCCAGCGAGATGTGCACCTCCTGTGAACTCGCGCGGACAGTAAACTCGACCTGACATAGGGGAACGTGAAGCGGGGGGGGTGCGGGTCTGGAGACGGATAATGCCGAGATGCGCCAGCGGGAGGTGCGCCTCGTCTGAATTCGCGCGGAAAGTAAATTCCACCTGACATATGGGAACGCGATTGGGGAGGCTGGGAGTTTGGAGACGGATGATGCCGAGATGCGCCAGCGGGGGGTGCGCCTGGTCTGAACTCGCGTGGAAAGTACACTTCACGTGACATGGGGAAACGCGAGTGGAGAGGTTGGGGGTTGGAGACGGATAATGCTGAGATGCGCCGGCGGGGGGTGCGCTTCGTCTGAAGTCGCGCGGAAAGTACAATCGGGCCGACATATCGGGAACGCGAGTGGGGAGGGCGGGGAGCTTGGACACAATTCATGCCGAGATGCGCCAGCGGGGGACGCGCCTCGTCTGAACTCGCGCGGAAAGCAAAGTCGACTCGGGGAACGCCGGTGGTGAGGTTGGGCGTCTGGAGACGGATAATGCCGAGATGCGCGAGCGGGGGGTGCGCCTCGTCTGAACTAGGGCGGACAGCAAATTCGGCCTGACATGGGGGAATGCGAGTGGGGAGGTTGCGGGTCTGGAGACGGATAATGAAGAGATGAGTCAGCGGGAGGTGCACCTCGTCTGAAGTCGCGCGGAAAGCAACCTCCACCTGACATAGGGAAGGCGATTGAGGAGAGCTCGTCTGCATAGCATTGTATCGTGATGATGTTGCACGTTCTTGCAAAGCTCGTCGCTTTCACGCGCTTCCCGTTCGTGTCAAGAAAGTATCTGGGGTTGGGCTTCTTGCGGTGGGCTTCCTGTGGAGTAACGTGCATTGCGCACGTCCCGATCCGATGCACGTTCCCTGAGGTCCGACGTCGCGAAAAGATTGACACATTGTGAGAGCCACGACGGGAGCCCTAGGCCCCATCTCTCTGCGCCGTCCCTCTGGCTGGATCGATGTCCGAGGGCTCCCTGGGGCCCGAAGCTGGGCGACAACGCCCAGCTCGAAAACACGGAGTCGCCAGGATCTCAGGCCGCCGATCTGGTCCGGTGCCCCGACGCGATGTGCTACTCAACGGCACCGTAACGGGTACTTACTAACGGGCACTTTGAAATGTTGCCGAAAGTTGCCACTTTAGGGTCTTTTTCTGGCATTGCAGCGTTGCCCACATCGGGAAGGGTTGGGTTCGCTGGGACACTGGCCAAAGTACCCGTTAGTGGAGTCCCCGTTTGAGGGGCGCTGAGCTGCAGCTCTGCCCGGCGCGCACGCGGAGGGAGGCGCCGCCGCGTGCGTGGCGGCCGCCGGGCAGGGCGGGTGCGCTGGGCAGGGGCGCGGCGCTCGGCCTCTCGGCGGGCCCGGGTGCGGCGGGCGGCGCGGGCACCGGGCCTGCCTCGAGCGGCCCTGGCCCTCCTCCTCCTCCTCCTCCTCCTCCTCCTCCTCCTCCTCAAGCAATTTTGAAGCAGTGGCGAAGCGTCCTGGCTCGCCTATAGCCCTACCAAGCAATGTTCTGAGAACCTTTTGTGGTTCCCACGGAATGTTCTCAGAACATTTCTGGCTGGGACCGTCTTGTTTTAGCACATCGGGTTTATGTTCTAAGAACATCGTTTTTGTTATTAGAACATGTGTGGGTTCTAGGAACACTTCGTAGTAGGACTATAGGAATGCTGGGACGGTCGGTCCCTGCTCAATTTTTTTCCACCACGGGAGTGTGTGTGCCCATTTTCGGGCCCCGCGACACTCACAGGTCAATGCTCGAAAATGGCGCAGAAGGCTCGGGCCTGGGGTTCGGGTTTTGATTTCTGGCGGTGTTGCAACTTTTCTGCAACGTCGGATCTCAGTGTCTTCTGGAAGGCCCAAAAATCACAGCATGAAAAGATACGCGAGCACGAACTTTTAGAGTTCCGCGCGGGATTTGTTGATCGGCGGGAAGGCGTGGCAGATTCCCCGCCTCTGGGGGCTCAGGCCGGGTCCTTAGGCCCTCACTCGAAGAACGAGCAATCGCATACACTTAATGTTTCAGAGCTCCACGCGGATGTCTTGAATCGGAGTTGCCCCCGCCACCTGGCGGCGCCTCTGGCGCCGCCCCTGGCAACTCCGCACGGAGTTCCAACAGTTTCTGTGTTTGCCGTTTTCTCGTTTTCAAGAGCGGGCCTCCCACAGAGGCCTTCAAATGCCGGAATATATACATATATACACATACATACATACATACATACATACATACATACATACATGCATGCATACATACATACATACACACATACATACATACATGCACACATACATGCACACACATATATGTATGTGTATATATATACATTTGTATATACATTCACATTCACATACATAAATCTATTGTAGCAATCGCATCCGAGGTGCAAACATTCGGGCAGGTGGTTGCCTGACGGCTTCAGAGCAAGGCCATGGCCAGGCGGTACTATACCGCCGAGACTCCCGCGGTGGACGTGATGCGCAACGTGCCGTGGTTGCTTTCGCTCCTCACGATGAATATGGGTGTGGTCAGACCTCAAGGACGCGACCGACCCCAGGCTGTGCGATTATCAGCCACCCCCCTTCCAAGGACGGCACGCAGGACGGGTTGTACATCCGCCTCTTCAAAGAGCCAAAGGCGGCAGCGGACAATAGGAACCCAATTGGAACCCGCAGGCTCTGCGAGCTGCACCGTTCAATTTGGATTCCAACAACTGGATTTCAATAGGAATGCAATCGGAATCCGCTGGATCTGGGATTTGCTCCATTCAATTGGATTTCCATTGTATACGATAGGAATCTTATTCAATAAGAACGCGCTGGATCCGGGATCCGCACCATTCCAAGTGGACCCCCATTGGATACCTTTGTGATGCCAATAGGAATTCAATTTGAATCTGGTGGATCTGGGGTCTGCGCCACTCTGATTGGATTCAACTTGGATACACATTGGATTCCACTAGGAATGCATTTGGAATCTGCTGGATCTGGGACCTGCGCCCTCCAAATTGGATTCGAATGGGATGCCAGTTTGATTCCATTAGGAATATGTGAAAGCGTGGGTCGGTACCGCGCCCCTCCCCCAGGAGCCAATCCTGGACGGCGGCCTGGGGTGGACTGCCAAGGTCTCGGCCGCGCTGAAATGCCTCATCGCTTGGTACCACCAGAAGGTGAACGACCAGACGGTCTTGCACCCGAGTGACGAGGGGCTCCAGGGCTTGTTGGGCCGCCCCGACGCGGTCCGCGACCACCTCGACAACAACCAACACCTGGACGGGGGAAGGGCGGAGGGGGGGCGGAATTGGGGGCTGAGGCCCGCGCGTGTTCGCGGCCCCTGGTTGCGCCCGCCCCGCTCGCAGGGACGGCGCATGAGAGGCGCCTCTAAGGAACGCGCCTGGGTGTTAGCAAGCGGCCATGCGCGGATTCCGCCGCCGCCGGCGTCGTCGCTCCCGGCCCCCAGGGAGAAGGCCTAGACGACTGTCGACATTCGGAAGCGGACCGCGGAGAACTTCCTGCATCAAGCGGAGCTGGAGGACGGCGTACAGCAGCGCGCGCGGGCGCGCGCGCACACGGCTCTTGGAAACAAGTGCGCGCGGGCGCGTTTGCGCGCTTGCTCGCTTCGATGCCGAGACGCCTCGCGGCCGTTGACAGGGGAAATTGCGCGCGCGCGACTGAGTGCGCGCTGCGCGGGCACAGCGTTGCTTGCCCCACCCGCGACGGTTCCGCGAGGAGGACGTGCCGAACGCAAAAGAGCGGAAGATGGCGGCCCTGCGGACCACGATGGCTTTCCGCCAGCCAGCCGCTGACCACCGCGCGGGCAGTGCCGCCCTGGGAAGCGCGAGCAGGCCTGTCATCATCGCCTTCAACGGCTTCTTTGGTTATTGTGAAGAGTGGTCCGTGACGAAGCGGAGCGTGGTCTGCTCGCAGCTGCTCGAGAAACGGAGAGACTGGGTCGCCTGCGCGGAGCTCGGGCGGGCAGAAACACAGAGGGCGATCAGCGCGAGGGGGCCAACGTTGCAGGAATGGGCGCGCGCGGGGCGCTTCCAGCGCGCCCTGAGGGCTCCCACGGGGCCAGCAGAGGCCCAGAGGGGGCCCCTGAAGGGCCCCATGTCGGGCCCTGTTCTTCGTCCCCCATGCGGTTCAGCCCCCATTACCACCCGCCCGATAAGAGGTGCAGACATGCTCTTTCTCCCTTCGGTGGCCTCCCAGGGGGGGCCGCTCGGCCGCAGCCGGCGCCGCCCGCCTGCGCAGCTGCTCAAGGATCGGCGAGCAGGTCGGCGCCAGCGGGCGCGACGGCGCGCCCGCTCCCAGACAGAAGCCAGCCAGCCGCTGGCCCTGCAGGCGCACGACGACCAGAGCCCCTCGAGTCCTGCAAGAAGCAACGGGCGGTTTGCTTCCAGTTTCAACTTCCGCGGGCCCTTGCCAGGTTTCGGGGCCGTCAGAAAGCGACTCGGGATACAAGCCGGTCCTTGGGAATGGGTCGAGACCTCTTTGGGGGTCTTCGTTATGAAACAAGAACGTGTTCGGGCGATTTCAACAGTTTCCGGCGGTGTTCAAGCCTGGGGGTGCTCTCCAGCTGCTGCGCCTCGTCGAGGAGAGGCGCCCAGTGGTGACCAGGTCGCCCCAAACGGCTGGCTGCCTGGATTCAAATCTCAGGGGTCCGTGCGGGCCCTGGGGCTCGAAGCAGGGTGCGTTCGCTCATCGTGAAGAAGTTGCAGCGCCCAGATCTCAGGGGACCTGGCTCGAAGGATGCCGCAAAAAAAGTGGGGCCAGGGGTGTGTGTGACCAGGGTCAATCGTTCGAGCGCTGCGGGACGCTCTCAGCGCATTCTAGAAGGCTCTGGAACGGCCGCAGCGCCCGATACATCCTCCAGAATACAGATTTTGTCTGAGTCAGACGTTGTCTCCGTCCCGGCTTCGTTTTATCCAGGGTTGCGGTCGTGGCTTCCCGCAGCGCTGCAGCTTTTCCGCGGCGTCGGGTCTCAAGGGGCGTGCTGCGCGAGCAGCATGGCTGCTCCACACGCACGCACCAAGCAGAGGCGGCATGATCAGCCTTCAAATATTCCCGCGCGGGGTGGACCCTGCGGTTATCGCTGTCGAAAGCTGATCGCCGATCCCAATCAGTGCTGCCTCCCCTTAGGTCAGCCCCCCCAAACGTTCCCATGCTTGGCATCACCTTATATGGATGCCGACATCAATATCTGATGGTGCATTCCTAAGATTGCCATTGCTTAACGGTTGCCCGTCTGGTACGGTATTTCCGGCTATGCCTCGCCATTCCTTGGTTGGTTGTCCCCGAGTAAGTTTGTGTTCTGGCATGCACGTGCAATACCGTCACGGTCTAAGCGTTTTCCGCCGCTTGCGGTTAATCAGTATGGGCCCCTTTCCAGTTTCGTTTCTTTGTGCCCAATTCAGTTCCGATGACTCTTTCGGTTGTCTCTACCGCTTCTTGTACCCAAATCGCCGCTGACCGCACAAGTGGGTCTGTCAATCTTAGAAACAAGGACCAGATCGAAGCTGGCGGTACTGGGCCCCCCGCCGCGCAGCCCCTCCCCAGCTTGCAGCGAACTAAGCGGGCGGCATTGGCGGCGCCAGGGAAGCGGCATACGACAAAAATCACGGCGGACGGACGTTTGCAAACTTCCGGCGTCTTGGGGCTTTGGCTGGGTCCTTCCGGCCCCCAGTCGAGGGACAAACAACGGCTTAAACATGCCTCTTCTATTCTCTGTGAGCAAGCTCCTGCTGTCTCCGCAGCTTCTCTGCCCAAGTGCCCCCCGACGGCCGCGCGTGCGGGCGCCTTATGCAGGCGGTCGCACAAGCGGCTCTCCAGGGCGCTGGGGAGATTTTGTTCAGGGGGCTGCGGGCCGCGCTCTACGAGCGGTTCGTGGCTGCCCCCCTCTCTGTGCTTCAGGACCAGGGGCCTCCATCGCCTGCCTGGTCCATCCAGCAGGCGGACTCGTCCGAAGGTGAGGGGGCCTCCTGCCCTCTCCCTTCGGCGGGTTCCACCTGCCCCACCGTCTGCCTCGGGCTGGCGGTGGACCTGAGCGGCGGGGTCTCTCCCTGGCTGCTCAGCACGGTCGCCGCCCTCCTCTGGGTGACGGCCGCCTGCAGCGCCTGCGCGGGCTGCTGCCTCGGGCTGCTGGGCCCGTACGTGTGGCGGAGGCTCTGGCCCTCCGCCTGGCCGCGCGGCGCGGTTTCTGCTTCACCTGAGCAGGACCGCCGTGCGGCGCGAGCGCTGGCCTACGGGGTTCCGCCTCGACCTCAAGCGCTCGAGCGGGCAGACGCCCAGCGTGCGGGCGGCGGCGTCCACGGCGGCGCCCACTGATGGCGGAGCTGCCA